TGCTTTTGTATGGTGATACTTTTTAAGTTGGTAACAAATTTGTTGATTGTTTTTATAATTTTAAAGTTGACATTTTTGCCATTCAATTGGCTTTTTTAATGAGAATTCTGTTTTTTACATACCACTAGCAGAATTTTCCTGTACCTGGAATTCGGGATTTTCCGAGCTTTTCTTTTATGTGGAATTTCATTCCTTATAAATTTTGAATGCATTGATTTATTTATGATGGAGTCCCAAATTTATAACATGCACCTCAGTATTCTTGAGTTAATAATTCCATCCTCCAGTAAATCCTCCAAAGTTCACCCTGGCGTTCTCAAAAAGCTTTTTTCAGGCCAATATTCTCACAGCTAGCGTTTTACAGTTTTTGGATTTTAAGACCAGTAGGCCATTATGTAGGCAGTCCAACCATCTTAGATTTGGTCTGCCGTTGAAGACTTTTTTTATTTACATGGTCTGCCCATTTTATTCTTTGTTTTTTAAATGATGTCATGTTCGTTATATTTGCGATATAGCTTCAAATTTGATCTTCTAAGCCACACACTATATTTTTGTATTCCTCCAAAAAGTACTTCTCAAAACCTTCCTTTCAAAGATGCCCAACATATTGTTATGTTTTTCTTGTGACACCAGTTACGTTATTTTTTTCCTTCACGTTCGTATGGATCAATCTATGGGTTCGTATGGGGTTCGTGAGGATTTGGAGTGAATAATGACAATACTACTTGATGAAGTATCGAAACACACTTTATTGGCCAGTATTGTGAGGACAGCTCCAAAACACATTTTACAGCCGTCGATGAACTACTATAAACACGCTGACACGATCAGCGACACAGCCTCCAGGTTAGCTCAGGCTATCACAGTGGAGACAGCTTCACGGCAAAGCACTAGAGTACTTCCTGCAAAGCACCCGACTCTGCGTTTTGGAGTACAGCTCCCGACTCTGCTGGGTCGTTCTCGGAACTCCACGTACTCTCGAGACTCTGCGCACTGCGACTCGCGATGCACTCGACGACACACAGAGCACAGCTCCCGACTCTTCGGTTCAGTCGTTCCCGGAGCTCAACATCCTCTCGATGATGCATTAACAGCGATAACAGCTTTCAGTGCACTCGACGACCCACTTGGCACTCGCTGCCCGGCTGTCAACTCGATTGACTCGCTAGAAGAGACACCAACTCGATACTAGCGTACCAGCAGGGTTTATATAAGTTTTGACTGGTGTTCGGAGAACATTCTGGGCTAAACCAGTAAGAATTCGTTCCAGCAGGTTTTCCATCCGTCCATGGCATATCGCCAGTTTTGTCGCCAAATGGGCGATTTCTCGCCAAATGTGGCAACTCTGCCTTATCTTGCCATTTTATGGCAACACTAAAACTGTTTTGCGGGGAAGGTATCTCACCGCGGCTGGACATTTCGTAACAATATCCTCATTTATGCGCATCACGGTCGTTTCATATGCATATGTCAAAATTGGTCTTATACAGTAAAACCTTTGTTTTTCTTTGACTTACATTTGAGTACATATATTTTTGCATTCCACTGAAGCAGCTATTGACTGCAGTGATTCTCTTTTGTATTTTTGTAGTAATATTGTTTCTGTTGAAGTTTCAGTCCCTAAATATGTGAAGCTGGCAACACTTTTAAATTTATATTCTCCCATGTCTAAGTGTCCTATCTAGATGCCTCATTTAGTGCATGGCATATATTTTATTTTCATTAATTCTCAGGCCCCTCCTGTGAGCCTCCTCTAGAGATATAAAAGCCCATTTTAGTACAGCTTGTATTGTAGTAATAATGATAATGTCATCAGGAAAAGCCAATATCTGTACCAGTTTATGAAAGATGGTATTGATATTTGAATCTCTTATTACTTTTTCTAGGACCAAATTGAAGAGAAGGCATCCTAGCGCATCACCTGTCAAATGCCATTTTGAATTTCATTGTTCATTCTGTAATTTTACTATGAGTTAATAATCAGGGAGTTTATTTTAAGACCAGAAGAAGATATTAGTTGCATGTAATGAATAAAAGTATTAGCATGATTTTTTAATTTTCCTCTATTTCTGAAGAGAATTAAACAGTTAATTTTAGCCATTATCTTTTTAATACTTAGAATGTTCTGCCCTATCCCAAGAAAATCCACTATTGAATTTAATTGTGAGGACCTTGTATGAGAAGTAGTTTCTTCCTTAAAAGACAATTTCAAAGCTAGTGATAAAATTATAGGATGTCTAAGAATTAAATCCAATGGATAAAGTGCAGGATGAGAACAGATTCGTGCTGTTGATGATATGTGAATAATTTTTTTTTTTTTTTTTAATGTGGGTTTGAAGGTTAGTGTTCTTTTTTTTGGGGGGGGGGGGGAATGCAGTAGTGCCTTGGTGTTATGTCATTAACCCGTTTCATATCCTTGGACAAACAAATCCTGTCCATTTGAGATCTAAACAAACTTTTCCAACAAGAAAAAAAAAAGGGGAGAAGTAATTAATTGGTTCCTAGAAAATTTTATAGTTATTATTATAACACTTCTTAATACTAAAATGCAAATACAGTGGGTGTAATGCATATCATACATAAATGAAGCACAGCACGTGATAATAGCCATAAATGTTTTTCTGCTATGCAGATCATATGCTATGCATCAAAAATTAAATCATAGAAACATCAAGAAAAGTAATAAAATAAAATATAGTAATAAAATTTACGGGGTAATATATTTTTGCATTTATATACTCCAAACCCTGAACCTTAAATCTGAACCCAGTTCTTAACCTCTGAGCATCTTCAATCCATGATGAAGATGAATTTTTAGTTAACTTCTGTAAAAGACTACAAGCTTTATCAGAATCGAAACATCAAGCTGTAGTAAGAAGTAATAAAATTTTAAATAACATTTTTCTAATTTATGTTGTTATTTGTTTACGTCAGAGAAAATGTAAATAATTAAAAAATAAATACAATTTTAAATTAACCTTTTCTTCATAAATAAAAGATGTGGTTGTTTGTTCAAAGTCAGAGTGTATTAGTATGTGTTAATTATGTTTTTTTTTAAAAGGAAAATGCATCATATTTGAATAAATCTATATATATTTTGAATATAAGGCTGAAATATATAGGAAATTAAAAAAATTATTAGTTCAATAACTATAAAAATTTAGCAGAATATAATGAAATTTTTTTAGATTAATGCGGTCATTGAAGTTGACTATGTTTCTACACCTATGTTATTTTATATATGAAATATTTTTGATAATCTTTAAATAATTTCATACATTAATACATTTAAATAATTTTTTCACACAAAGTCTTTCCAAAACGAAAACAGGTTGTTACTTTATGGATGCAACCCCTATTTAAGGTATGTAAAATCAAAAGAGCTTATAGACACAAGGTGTTTAAATTATTGCTAGCAAAGGTAAAACCTCAACTGGTTGGTTTTTTGGATCATTACATTTGATTGTCAATTATTTAGGAGGAATTATGAATTTTTCCTTTACTACAGGTAAAATCAATGATAAATTCCCAGTAGACAATTTATTAAAAAATTTGATAAGCAAAGTATTTGCCGATAAAGTTTACTTCAGTAAAGAATTGTTTGGAAAAACTCATGGAAAAAGGTATACACAACTGATTACTCAAATCAGAAGCAATATGCAAAATGCTTTTATGCCAATCTGGGATAATTACAGCTTATGGACTAAAAGAGAAAAAAAAACCTTGTATAAATAATATATATGGCTCATTTAATATAAATAAAATCCAAAACTGATGCTCTTAGGCCCCTTGGGAGCGAAGCTACAATATGGGGACATTTGCGAGAGTTTGCAAGGAAAGTAGTATACTACAGTATTCACAGATACTGGGCAAGATAAATCTGAATGGAAAGATGTCTGGGTATTGACTCCAGAACAAATTTCGCTATTGACTGATAAAGGTCGCCTTAGTTTTTCTGGCCAGTTAAAATTTATGGAGATATATGGCAGGTTTCCTGGATCAGCCTGGGATATCAGTTCCGATGTTATTCAGTACCTTTTTCAACAGCTTGGGGTTCCTTATAATATTTTTTCTTTGTACGAACCTACCGATCGCCAGTTTAAAACGGCATTGTCAGACTATTCGTCGTTTACTTGGATATCTTCCTTCCTCCGATGCTGACCTAATAAGGGTATTAGGCAAAATGGTGCGTAAATGTACGCTAAGACGACTTAAATCATTTAATAAAATTTTTATTTATAATGTACTGTCCGTATAGCAATACGATATGGCATATTCCATCCGATGTGCTCCAATAATTTAAATCCTGTCTTCTTGCCTTCTATAGCATGCTATTCATAGCCAAGGTGATTGTCTAATTCTACATCCATGGCACGTTCTATGGTGAGTTTTATAGTTGCTTGCTGAGAACAGCTAAATCTTCGCTAATTCATTTAGTAGATTGGGATCTATGCTTATTTGTTCTTGTTCCATAGCTTATTCTTCATTTATCGTTAGTACTTTAAGGTGCTAACATAGTTAATAATAAGCACTTACACGATTTTATTTGCAGACTCGGTAAAGGCCATTGAAAAGTCTAATGAAGTATTGTTTAATCAGGGGTTATCTGACAGTTATGGATTCACTGATAGAACTAATCTAATAAGAGAGTAGAAGTATCACTTACGTCCCTCTTTAGAACCATCATCGTGGAAATTTCTTGCAATGAGCTCAAGATAAATTCATTCACTTGATCGGGATTCAGAAACGTGTAAGATGAGTTTTGCTTTTGGACGTGGTTTTGTCCTCTCTGCATTCAACTGCAACTTGAATCTAGACAGACGTTTGGCTAAAGCTGACCTGATCCATCTGGAATCATTTTCATATTGGCAACAGATACATATATCATTTCCATAACGTAATAATATTACCTCGCTTTTGCAATAAATTTTAACAACTTTTCATGCCATTCGTCTATTACATAATGTGCAAAAATATTCGCAAGGATAGTGCTGCAGCAACTACCTTGTTTCATGAATACTCATTTCCCCATTTGATAATGTACCTGATTTCAACATTCTGCTAATATATTGTATAAGACGACTGTCTTTGATTTTTATCTGTAATACTTTAATCAGTGTTTCTTGATTTATGTTTCCGAAAAAGTTTTCCAACTCGACATCAATGACAGCTTGTACAGGTCTGGAATATAAATGATTGCGTAGTTCCTTAATTGCTAAATGACAGCTCCTTGGAGGTCTGAATCCAAATGAACAATCTAGCAATATAGGCTCATATATGCTTTCAAGAACTCGTTGCATCATCTTTTGAACCAGCTTATCCTCAAAATTACTAATCCCTAAATTACGAAACTTGCCTATTCTATCTTCCTCTGGGATAGATATTTGACGTATATATCCAGGTCTATAGCGCATTTGTTTCATATTAGTTATTAGCTTTCTTAAATTGCTATCCAAGTTTGACCATAAACCTTGCTTATCTACTTTATCTACCCCAACAGCTTTATTACCATTTACTTGATAGTAACAGGATTTTAGAGATTTTTCATTGAAGTAATGCATTAAACATTTGAATTTCTTGGTCGCATCGTGCTGAGATACCCAAGCTATCCTTAACATTTTTGTATCCGTTATTGTGAGCTTCTTTTGTACTTCTTTTGTACTCATAGCGTTTCCTTGTTAAGGGTAAATTTAACCACCGACCTTCCCTCCCAATTTCATTAGTAATATGCCGGATCTGACTTCCTGATCATGTTTTTAACTTCCTCGCATTTATATTTGTCCATTAATACTCCTTTTAGGAAGAATGATCAGGATTTCCCAAGTTCACTTATAAACTTTCATAACATGCTGTGCTCTTCGATTCCGGGAACGTTATCTGTATCTCTCCTCTAACAATATAAATAATGTTGTCTTCTGGTTATCTTAAAACTGTCGACCATTCCTAATTTGATTTTAATGAAGCTCTATCCCTTCAACCTTGCGGCTTACAGTCTATTATGTCTCTGTCTACGCTTAACGATATTTGCCCAAGGCTAACAGTATAGTGGATCAAAGGTTATATAAGGCTTGAAAAGACTCAACAGATATATACTACCAGAGCCATTTAAGATACTGGACATCCTGTCTAGATTTATGCCTGCTTTTAGATTTTCTCTGTAGTATGTTGGGTTACCTTTTTTTTTTTTTATCAAACCAAAGGTTATATAAGAAAGAAAGCAAGTAAATCTGTGCCAGAGCCACATAAGATACTGGACATGCGGGTATTAACCTTCATCTCAAATGCCTTATTGAACATAGTTTGCCCCTTCATTAGCTAAAATTTTTTCGAAAATAAGAAATAATAATTTTTTATAAGAAAGAAAGTAGTAAATCTGCCGAATCTTGTCGGCAGATTTACTACCAGAGCCACACAAGATACTGGACATACGGGTATTAACTTTCATCTCTAATGCCTTATCGAGCATAGTTTGCCCCTTCATTAGCTAAGAATTTTTCAAAAATAAGACTCTTCCCCCCCTTTTCCTTTTTTTTCTCTTTTTTTCTTTTGTTTGTTATTTCTACTTATTGAACTAAAATTTAGATCCCTTTTTATCAAATTCACTCGATATACTTTTTTTACTAGAAAATGCTTTTTCTACAAAATATTTTCTAGTTTGATCTATTTTTATGAAGCCTTTCTGTAATAAACAGTTATCTAGCTCTTTTATATTCTTAAGAGCAACCGATCCAGAAACTATTCCTCCTCTTTTTGATAAGGATTATCCCTTTACCAATATCTATTGTATTATCTTCATTACCAAAAGGATCGATATAGTAAGCATAATATTTTTGACTACAAAATCTAATCTACTACCCAATATCTATTATTTACCTCAATTTTAAGATTAATAGTGGACTTCATCATTGGTCAGCTTTTCCACCTCAATTTCCATATTTGTAAAACCTCTCTTAATTTTTCCATGTTAATAACATTAAAACAATTTCCTTCTTCCCACCCATATTTAAAGCTTGTAATATCAATACTATCCTCTTGCGTTAATTCCTTTTTAGAGCTCTCATTTCTTTTAAGCGCTGAATCTTCTACACTTCCTTGCTCTATACGCTCAGTAAAAATTTCAGTGGTATCATTTATAGGCGTGTGTTATAGGAATTATTATATGTATATGTCCGTTGTAGAATTCTCCAAAGTTACATGAGACTCATCTTCTGGATCAATAAAAATACCCGAATCATCTTTGCTTAATTCATCTGCAAGTTTTATTCTTTCACCTTCAAAATCTCTATTATCCATTTCTAACATGGGTATTATTTTAGAATATAGTTGAGAAAGCTCTTCTGTTGAGTAGTTTTCTGAAAGGAATACTCAGATTTCTGTTCGATTAAATCTCTAAAATCAATCTATTTATTTTCTACAATTATATCCATCAGATTGCTGTCGCTTAAATTCTATAAAATCAATCTTTTTATTTTCTAAATCTTATTTAATAATAGATGGAATTTCCCAATTGTAAGAATCGACATAGAACCCATAGTATTGATCATTGCGACCCGCTACTACAAGTGTAGTCCAATGAAAGTTACCTGTATTAATAAAAAATGCCCTTGAGCATAATTCAGAAAAAGTTAAAAAAACCATCAATGAATTGTTCTAATTGACTATTTAATTCATTACCATAATGAATAGGACTGTTTTCATAATCATCATGAATGGCTTGGATACGCGTATATGGGCGTATAAATTTGAACAACATCCCTTATATCTTGATCTTCAAGCCAATATTCGTAATTACTATCATTAGTTTTATAGACTAGATTATTAGTATGACTACGATAAGGAATACTGGAATTATTATTTTAAAGTTGAAGGTATGACCTCTCCACTAGTATTAGTCAAATACTGTTTGGTTGGCGTGGTTACCACGGCTGGAGATACATTTTTCTTTTCTGTTGGTTTTGGATTTATATATAACCTACGAGTATCTCCTGACAAACAAAAAATAAAATAAAATAAAATAAAGTGGCTTTTCATTGACACAATAGCTAAAACTGTGGATAATGGTCCTGTCGGCGTCTGATTAGTTTGAGGTCTAGTTTTAAGATAAGGAAAGCTCTTGTGAAGGATCTTGATGAGTTGATTGTCGATCCCATTCGGATTCGTTGCTTCGGTAAGATTTTGGTTATTTTTGAAACTCAAAGGAAGAGAACTTAAATGTCGTTGCTTGTTCCTGGTGGTTGTGTGTTGATTTTGCTCATACTCTGGAGTGACGAGGTCTTTATTTGAGGAATCATGGACGAATGCAATATGCATTAATTTTCTTGATGCTGTGTGCGTTGTTGCATCTTCGTTTCTTTTGGTTAGTTAATGGAATTTGGAATAGCAATTCGACACGTATGGAAAACTTTCTTGGAACATTTTTGATTATTTGATGTAATTTTATGGATAGGAAGGACCTTTTAGAAATTTTCTTACAGCGGTCTATAGAGATTTTTCGTTGGGAAAAGGAGAAGGGTCGGTGCGTTTCTTTTCTTCTTAGCGCTTCTGAAGAGGTGATCAGGTTTGCTGGTGAGTGCTGGTTATTCCTGTGGCAGCAAATCTGCTCTCTTCTTTTTTTTTTTTTGTGTGTGCATCCACGGAATAATTGCAATGATGGCTTGATGTATTGGGAAGTATAATATCTTGTTGTTGGGATGTAGTGCTTCTTGGAATTTCTTGATGCTGTGAAATTGATGTTCTCTGCGATGAGCGCTGGAGTATTAGTATCGGATATTTCACTTCTCTGAGGTTTCTGTTAGTGCCTCGGAGATGATAAAGGGACTTCTTCTTGTGTTAATTCTAGCGTTAGTTAGTGCGAGAAAGTTTGAGGGTAATTTTTGAATGTCTTCTGGATGAAGGTCTTGAAAGCTCGGAATAGAATGATTGTGATCTCGCTCTGTGTTGGAAGACCCTCACGTGGCTAGATGGAATTGTGTTTTTGATATTAACAGTTATAAGCGACTGGGAGAGTTTGTCGTTGTTTATTGACTCATGAGAATTTTCTTGGCATGCTGATGTGATTCTGGAGGTTATATCAGTAGTCTGCATAGTAGATTCAGTCTACTATACAGTGAACAGGCAGTCAGTAGAGATGCAGATTGTTACAAGCGCATCTTGTGGTAAAGAGAATGGAAGAGGAGAGAAGGCACCTATATCTGCGAAACTTCGTCGAGGCGGAAGAAAAGGAAAAACTGCAGAAGTTGGTAAGTACTACTTCCATGTCCTTCCATAAGACCGGGGTTATACGTAGTAAATACATTTAATAAATGCTTAAAACAATCCCCATGTATAGCTATACCTTATACATCTGAAACAATGAAACAAGAAATCATAGAAATGCATGCCAAGTAGATGCTTAAAAGCAAAATTATTGTACCTGAAATTGTCTCTAAGCTAGTCCAAATGTTTCGAAAAAATAATAAATAAAACACAGCATATGTTATTGTGCTTCGTTGCAGAAAGCTACACAGCACAAATTTACACTCTTCTCAAAACAGAGGCTATAATTAGGAACATTAGGTGTATTAAATATATGATAACACTTTATTTAACTTCTTGGCACTTTCAGCCAAGCAAAAGGCCAGGAAATATGTTAAAATGGAATTTACCACAAAATCTAGCCTTTCTAAGATTGTCATTTGGATTATGCGAAGCTCCAACTACGTTTCAACAAGGCCAGGAACATAAACAGATAAACGTTCATCTCTCTAGATGACATACGACATAATAGTTACAAATAACTCGATTGATGAGCACATTGAGAAAGTGCGAAATTGATTTAAAACGTAAATGGGTCTAAATATAAATTCAAACTTCGTTACTTGCGATACAAAATATCACATCGAAGGACTGAGACATGAAGCCAAATAATTGCAATTAAAAAATTTGATTCAAGCTGTCTTGAAATTTCCGAATCTGGAGGAGAAATTGGAGATCTGTATAGATACGTCTGATATGGTGGTAGAAGCTGTGCATAACCAGGATGGTAAGCCGTATTGGCATTTTAGTATGATCCTTTAAATGAATCTTTTTAATTCATTTTAAGTTGTTTAAAAGTGTTAAAATAAGTGTACTAATTAAAAAATATAACCAACAATTTTCTTATTTATTGTTTTTTAAGCTTGAAAAACTAGTAGTATGTTAAAAATGAAAACAAAGGAAATTGTCTGATTTTTAGAATTCATTTTAGTTTTATGAATGTCCTGCAGATGGCAGCACTGAAAATCCTTTTATAAAATTAAAATTTAAGGGAACTTTCATTAAGCTGGGTAAGGAGCTTAATGAAAAGGAATTATTGGTTTTTTGTGAAAATCTTCATCTGTAAGTGAACCTTTTGAACTGTTTTTTATCGATACTGTTGGTAGTCAGAATTATTATAATTCGACTAAAAAGTATATTCACATTATTACATACATCATTCTACTCATTATATATGGATATGTACTTACAAGAAAATTTAAATGCTTGAAATGCTACCTTTACCTCAAAATTTAAGCATTTTTTTAAAACTATAATGTTACACAACTATTAACTACGTTTGTAGACCGTAGTTAATAGTTGTGTATTAAAAAGTTAATCAAACTCTTATAACTAGATTAAAGTGTAATTTAAATTCTTATCAATATTGCAT